GAGAGAGAGAGAGAACTTGGATGTGTGAGAGAGGATTCTTTTCATGGAGATAAAAATCTTGTCATAAATTGAATGAGGTTCAAATAGAATGAAGTCTATATAGATCTTTAAATAGAATGAAGTCTATCTCCTAATTTGCATAGGATTCCAATCTAAGTATGCCTTCCAATTTCCAGCTTCACCTTTAACATAATTATGAAATCTGTACGGTGAGAGAGATTTAAACAGAGCTATCCGTCCCACAAATCAGACATCATGATTTTGGATGGAAAATGGGAACCTTTTCCTCTTAGATTTTGTCCCAAGTGTAACTCCTATTTAAATTTGAAATATAACCAATCTTATCATAATCTAGATCTCTCATAATTAAATATAATCTATATTTTAAAACTCCCACTACAATAAGAAACAAAATCTTATTTAAAATTAAAAGATTTCCTATATTTTACTTAATTTAAAATTTGAACTAAATATTAAGAAAATGGGGCGTGCCCCCCTTTCTCCTAAAAAACAGGCGTGCCACTTTTTTCTTAAAGTAGTGGCGTGCCTCTCTAAGGGGTAAGTGGGTCGCACATGGGTGGCACACATATGTGGGGGCTGGATCCTTGGTCCCCACATATGCCTTGTCAAGGTTTGAAAATTTTAATAATACCCTTTTAATGAATATTACGACAGAAATCATATTTAAAATTCTAAAAAAAAATTAAAAATCATAAAAATATTTATAATAGCAAAATAAAATATATTAGGAGGGGCTGATACCAATGGGGTCAAAATTAGGGACAATAAAGGCACTCCACTTGCCCAAGAAACCATGATCCATTATTGTTTTCTTATCCAGCCCAACAAAGACCCATGACCCACAGTCTCATTTCAAGGGGCTCATGATTAGCTTTGTTAAAATTGGATAATAAACAGTGCGGCCATGATCTTGGAATGTGGATTTCTGGTCCCCCCTTTAAGAGCAAGTCTAGCACTTGTTACCTTAGTAAATAGGGGGGTCTGTCTATGCACATGTATATGTGTTCCTCTGTTGGGCTGCTTCCCAGAAATGTGGTTGTCATATGTACATGCTGTGCGGAAGTTTGTTGAGGCTTTGGTTTTTGCACTCACTGGCCTACAACTGCACAAACATCATCCCTGGGCATCTCTTCGACATCAACAAGGGATGACTTACTATAAACCCTTCTCGGTAGTGCTACATGACCAGGTCCATAAACCTTGCAAACCTCGGTCAGTCACACACAATTCCACTGAAGCGCATATTCCACTATAAAATATCATATTTACAATCACTCTATCCTTTAAAAGGCCACAAAAGTCAACAACAAGGTGGTACTCCTTTCTTCCACATTTATGCGAAACATTTCCAAAGGCGTAGGTTATGATTATTGGTTTATTCCTTTAATTTTTATATATCTTTGATTTGGATTTTATTATTTTCAATTGCCACTGCTATTGCTTTTTTAGTTTAAATCTGATCTGTTTAGAATTGATGTTTTTGAAGGTCTTTACTATTCATTTTCTTTTCCTTTATTTTTTCATTTGAATGAGAGGATTGTGAAATTGTTGCGGATAAATATGTTTTAATTAACTTGCATATCTATGGTCTTCTTTGCAGCCCAACTATAACTCTTGCTCCATTTCTTCAAGTGGTATAGATGCGTCCCAGACAAGGTGTGAAGCAATTGCTGTGGACACGTGTAGGTATGTCAAAAAGCAAAATCCGAAGGCGATACTTGTTGCGATTTTGGTTTGATATTGTGCTACAATTAAATGCGTTTTAATTGAAAGCCCGTATAGCTATTTAATTCCTTAGCCTATTGAACTTTTCTTTCCTCTTGTTCTTTTTTGTGATATGCAATGAAGGCTTAGTAAGCAGATTTTTTACTTTCTATTTATATTTTCCTTATATGTCTCTTGGGCATTTGTTCATCATGATTGTCCCCTTTTTTTTGGGTAGTTTGGTAGTATGAATTGAACTTTTGATGTGTGTTGCAAACATCAAGTACTAACCACTCAAGGCTGAGCCCATTGCCTGGCTTGATTGTCTTTTACTTCATAAAGAATGCATGAGTTGGATTTTCACTTGCATAGACATGTGAAGTTGTAAATATTTGAAAAACATAATACGCGGGTTGTTGCTCTTTATGACCGAAGGAAGATTATTCTTTTGAGCTTTATCCGTTGCTGGCTGCATCTTTCATTCAGAGTGATAGGGCTTGCTGTCCCATACTTATTTTATAGTATGGTAGTCATGGTTGTGAAGTTGTTTTAGGTGGAAGTGATATTTATGATTTTTGAGAATGTGAATGTTTAATTTACTGTCTTAGAATAATATATTGTCTTAGACAAGGGATTGCTTGCATGTGGGCTGCCTCAACTCACTTCTTCTGGTTAATTTGTAAACTTAAATGCCACCGCTTCAAAAAAAAAGAAAAAAAGGGGCCAACTTGCATGGTCTTTTTTCATCATTGTTTTGAATAGTTTTAGGGATGGCTTGTTTTTGGAGTAACGATCAGTCTTCTCAAGGATGTCAGCAATTTCCTACTTCATGTTCATTGGCATGGTCTTGATGAGTACATGAAATTGACTATATGCTCAATGTGGGGGTGGGAGGAGATGATGACCCACCTTACTATTCTCTTTTGACATCATCTTTTGGGTCTTATAAACTTCCTCCTTGGAGAGTTACGGGTTGCAGAGGATAAACATGTCAACAAAGAGGTCAATGATATTGTTATTTGCCCTGCAATCATAAGGTTCTTTCCCAAATTCTAGGTGTGTGTTGCAGTTAGTCCAAGGTCTTCCTTCCAGACCATATTTTAAAATTGGATGAGTCAACTCAGACTCGGCTGAGTTACTCGGCCTTGGCACCCTTCCAAGGTGAGTATGTTGTACATACTTGTTTGTGTATATTTTGTATCACTCAGAACAATAAAGTCCCATAGGTACTCATTCAATGATCTTGGAAGGGTGGGATTCAGAGAATATCCGGGATGTGCTCTCATGCATCAATTGGCATGATCTCAGCATATTTGGGTGGACCATTGGCCCATTTGGAGGTACCACCGGCCTGATTGCTGCTCAGTTGATATTGCATCGATAAAGGGGAGGTCATGTATCGGGACTGCGGATTTCAGTGAAACTTGGATGAATGTTAATTGGGAGTATTTTAAAGTCACCCTCCAAGGTTTAGGTGATTTTCGACCCAGTTTTGAAGGATCCCAAGTTCACTCCGATTGCTGGCAGATCAGCGAAGGCCCAGTTGGAGCACCTCGTAAAGGGAGCCATTGACAATAATCTCAAACAGCAGTGAAACTTAGGGCATGTTTAATCAGCAATATTTCGGGCCCACCCTCCAAATTTCAAGTCAATCTGACATCCCTTGGACTACTTTTACCCTAAATAAATCATGGCTGTTGATCTATGAAAAGGCCCTTGAGATGATCTTGGATAATGATGACAATGCTTAGGTTTTAAAATGAGGACATTAAGAGCAAATTGTCCAAATTTGGGCCAAATCCGATGTCACTTGACCTTGTCTAAAGAAGCACTTCAAAGGATCAACATGGAATTTGTATCGCATATCACTGGCCAAACACCTTAATGAAAAGTGAAATTCATGTACGAGGGGGGACCGGAAGAGCACTTAACTAGTATAGTAGGTATAGTATGTATGTTATAGTGTACTACATTGCTACACAATAATATGCTGCTATATTGTACTCCAATACTATGCTATATACTATACTCTAGTCTACTATCTGCTACTAATACTATGCTATATATTGCTATACTACTATATGGTGATATAATGCTCGGACTTTGGATGCCCTGTAACTTTGGATCTTGGTCCTAATAGGAAGGATCGAATTCCAAACTTTTTTTTTGATAATGTATTGAATTCGAAACTTTAAAAATTGATAGGGAGCAAAATTCCCTTTCTTGGAGTGTAGGAGCGAAATTTCAGAGCAGAATTGATCCCTTGGTTGTAAGAACCCGTTAACAATGATCGGAAATAGTATAACACAATAACACACAAAGCAATTAATTAATTATTTTTTTAAATACTTCGTACTTAAATGTAATTTGGGGGGTTACTATCCAACCTGAATTCCCCTATCACCATTGATGTCCAAAAATCCCCTCCTCTCTGTTTGGGCAACCTGCGCATACCCAAACGCCACCTTGGCAGTTGCCTTGCCACCCAGGTGGCTAGGCAACTTGGTGGCCTAGCAATCGAATCTGCATTTTTAAATGCAAGCATCAAATTGTTTCACATTGCCATTGAAACTCGTGTAATAGTTTTATTTAAGAGACATTTTGTTTTTCCTTTGGTGGACTGCTTACAAGATATCACAGTGGGCCGGCTAGGGCCCCAAAGAAGTGACAGTAAGCCCAGCCAAGTAGGGCCATGTGAAATTGTGACTCATAGACAACTTTCTATAAGGTTGTTGGCCCATGGGACTGTTAATGTCAAAAGATGTTTATTTTTTTAGTAAGATATTTCTCAAATTGTAGTTAGAAGAAGTTTCCTATTTTGCTAAGAGAGTCTAAAAGGATGCTACATTCCATATTTTGTGAAATATCCTGTCAACTTAGCTTTTATTCCTACATTATTTGGTCCCAAATCATTATTTTCCCTTCACTATAAGAGCCCTAATCAAGTACTAGACCCTTGCACCAATGTCATCCTAAGTACGCCGGTTTGTGCATAGATCTCTATAGGAGCCAGAGAGTTGGTCCTAAATTAGGGTAACTTTTTGAAGTATCTCAACATAAGATTTTAAGATAGAAACTGTTTGATTCAATGAAATATAATAGTGCCCTCGTCTAATTGGTGGTGAGGAATATTTTGGCAGATTTACCTCAGGATGGAAACTTTCTATCCACTTCATGCTGCGCCTTCATACAGAACATTCTTTGGACTGCACATTCCGTAACATTGGTGAATAAGAGCTGAGACCACCAATGCCCTTTCTTAGAGCCTGAAAGTTGGTAATTGAACTTTAGAATTTTGCCAACAGTGTTTCAAAAAACGCTAGGCTGCACCTAGGCAGCCGAGGAGGTCTAGGCCGCTCAGTGCCTAGGCGGGCCCCCAAAACTGGGGCGGCCCAGTAGAAAGAAAAATGTTTGTAGTCTAAGGCCTGTTTGATAACTGGAAGGTAAATGTCCCTTGGAAATTGGAAGTTCTTCTTTGCTAGGAAGAAAGAAGTTATTTAAGGAAGTTTTGAGTGTACTTGTTTGATAACTTGCTAGAATGTTAAAGAAGTTCTAGGTATCTCTGTTTGACAACCTGTTGAAATATAAAGTCATGTTTATTTAAATATTATATATTAAATATTATTTTTATATTAGACATAAGACAATATATAATATATATTGTATTGTAAATATCTATTACATGCATAAAATGTATTATAGAACAAAATATATTATATTTTATATTATGTACTATATTGTGTTACATTAAATAAATATAATATATATATATATAAAATAGTATAAATATAAATATATGATATTTATAACTTGCTATAATATATAATACAATGTATAATATATATTTTTACTATAATATATATATATATATAGTGTATTTATATTTATTTTATTATATAATATATAATATATAATAAAATATATTATATTACATAAAGGGTGCGGTTTGTATAGAGCCTAGGCTCTAAACAATCAAATTAGAGCCTACCTTCAAAAAGTGTCGAGAAATGTGGTTTCACTACTGGAAATCTTTGTGATAGCCTTAAAATATATTTTCATATTTATTTATAAAGTTCACAGCTTCAAAAATAGTGTGGATCGACAGATCTATGAAAACTTGAAAATATTGAAAATTGATGGTCTAAAAATGCGCTACAAAATACACTATTTCCAAAACTTGAAATCCATTTTTTTTCTCATGTCCATGCATCTTGATGTCGATATGATCAATTTGAAGATATTTGGGCATCAAAACAACCTCTTCTAGTGAACTTTTTGAGGTAGGCTCAAATTTGATTGTTTAGAGCCTCGGCTTTATATAAACTTTTCCCTTACATAAATGTATAATAATATAGGGTACTTTATATTTTATTTTGTTATATAATATATAATAAAATATATTATATTACATAAATATATATACTATATAATATAAATATATTAATAATTTAAATATAAACACAATATATATTATGTGTAACATAATATAATATATTATATGTTGTATTTTATATTTATTCTATTAATATATATATTATGTAATTCTCAAAAAAAAAGAAAAAAAAATATAATATTATAAATATCTATTATGTATTATATATAATACAAATATATATAAATATTAACAATATAAATATAAATATAAGAAGGGAGGCAGAATAGGGTTTGAGGAGCCGAGTTCCTATTTTAAGTTCCATCATTTTAGATGGAACTTTTTTCCTTAAGCACAAGGGAATAAGGAAGTTCTAGGTGGAACTTCTTTGCTGTATAAGTTCCGTGCATCAAACATGGAACTTGTGCAGTAATGGGGAAGTTCCTTCTTTCTCCTCTAACTACCTGTTATCAAACGCGCCCAAAGTGTCTTTGTCTAATAGCATAACTATGTAACATATAATCCATAATCCATATTTCTATGAATGAGGAGAATTTAGATAGTCCATAATCTATATTTTCATACAATGCTAGAACCATACAAGCATACACACACGAGTTAGTCATCATCATCATCAGGAGTAGGGTAAGCCTCATCATATGCATCAGATTCGAGGTCATTGTCATCAAAGTCATCTCCCAATTCAACATAACGCTCATCCTCCTCTGTTTCTTCTGAATTTTCCTCTTCCTTCTCTTCTTCTGCCTGCCATAAGTGTCTTGATTGCTCTACTTGATGCCTCATCACATTTTTTTTTTTTGTGCTTCCGTGAAAAATATTGTATAATCTCCTCCCTTAATACCGGCAAGGTGTTTCTTGAACCGGTAAATACCCCCATTAGTATGTGTTTTACTGAACTCATATATTGGTTAATCTCCTCTTTGATAGCTTCAAGAGCATTTTTATAAGGGGCAACATTCCCCCTAACACCAGCAAGATGTTTCTTAAACCGGTTTATGCCCTTATGCAATTTTTATTCAAAGGATTCATGTCATATCCATATTTCCAACCTGGATCGCACTTCGACTAGATCCTAAAAAAGACATCTCAAAATAATACAAGTAATCTAAAAAATAATGTTTTTCCCTTATTTTGATTGCTCGATCTCCAAACTTTCACCTCTGAGATGTTTTCTAGTGCTAAAATCTTAAAAAACACCCTCTAGTAGGCATAAAAAAACTCTAAAACTAAATATAATATTAATGGGTGATATTTGGATCTATTTCCCATAACTTTGAGAAACACTTTGATCCAATGAAAATCACAAAATCTGGTTTTTTTTAGGTTTCTCTCTCTCAAATGGGTTCTAGTGGGTTTAAGTTTGAAATGAACTTAAAACCCACCATTAGAAACTTGTTTTTTCAAAAAGAACCCAAAAATAGCCCCTCAACAAAGGGCTTTCCGCCCCTGGATGGGCGGCCGCCCAAGGACAGCCTACCTAATTTGGCTGAGTAGTCTTGGACAATGTGCCCGTGCCCAAGCCTTCTGGACCCCCTAGGCTGCCTAGGTGCTTGGCGGTCCACTTTTTAAAACAATGTTTGCCGATCATAACTGAAGAGGTCATCGATATTAATGATTAAATACTAGTGATCTGTTCTCCATCTCTCCTAAAATCTGATTTGCTTGCGTGAGTTTTCATAGGACAACCCCAAATCCATTTCCTACAAACCCCTCATATTCTTGGATGTGTCACGGATTTTGATAGCCAATCAAGCCGCTTCTAACTTTTGTTTACCTCTTTCATGACCTCCTTGAGTTGGATTTATGTTTATAGGAACAATCTTCTTGATCTTAATGGATAATAATGTTATGAATTAAAAGCCACAAACATGCCTATGAGCCCAAAATCCTTGATATTAGTTGCAACATTCACCTCGGTCAAGTGTTATCAAGACTATATCTGACCGTCGGGTTGGACCTTAGATCAATGCCTTGGTTAGCCTAGTCTAAAGCAAAAATGGGGTTTGATCATAACTGGCCAAAACTAATATTTGACTGGTTTTGGCTAGTCAGAGCAGTCAATTTTGACGAGTTGGACCCGCAAACAGAGGTTGCACTTGCACACCCCCCTCCTTTTAAACACCTTTTATAATCTTAACCTATTTTTCCTATTATTATTTTTTCCAATGGTTTGACTGGTCAAACATGTTTTGACTAGGCTAGATCCCTGACTAGTTCAATCATTGCTCCAGTTTTGATAACACTGCCTTGGTCTTGAGGACCATCTTGTTGTGTACCTTGTTGTGCTGAATCTATATTCTGAATATGCATTCACCTATGTGGGTTGTTGAAGCCCTAATGTACAGCTGAGGAAAGCCTAGAGTCCTCCACAGGCTATGAACCTCGAATGATGACAAAATAATCTTATATCTGCAAGGTATAGATGAAAAGGACATGCCAAAACACCTTTAAAAGTCTCTTTTTGACTTAAAAAAAAAACTTATGAATCATTAATTAGTAACATGAGGAACATTCTGCAATGCTACCGTTGAATATTTCTGTTTCTAAGATGACCAAGTCTTCAAAAATTATGGTTAATAGCATCCTACTTTTTTGTTTCATTCCAGCTGTTCCTGATGTGGCCTTAGATTTATTACTGTGCAAGACAACTTTTTGGAGAGGTTAATTTATCTTCCTTCATCAAATCTGCGAGATCAATTTCATGGAAGTTCAGAAATCTCGAATTGTCATTTTATTTATATCGTAGCGACTTAACACAAATCCTTTAACGTTTATCGTTTACATACTCATCCAACAACTTGTGCATTTGACGAGAGGTTATTCACCCCAAACACAATATGGGCTTTCCTCTTTTTGGTTGATTGATTCTAGTTTTCCAATTACTATTAGTTCTTGGCGTTCATTTCATTTTATGTTTGAGCTCTTTATAGATATTATAAATGAATGGACAGTTTTGATTCTTTCTAATATGTTGAGTTATTTACTGCAGGGAGGTTGAAGAGTTGGCTGATATGGATTGGGATAACCTTGTTTATGGGATTACACCAACAGATTACATGTATGTCATGAAATGTGCTAAAGGTGGACAGTTTACCAGTGGCGAATTGCAGCCCTATGGGGAGATTGGATTGAGTCCGTCTGCTGGCGTCTTAAACTATGGACAGGTCAATGACACTTGACCTATAGTTTCAGCGATATCTTGGTTTCTGAAATTAGTTGCTACCTTCTCTTTGTTGCCCTTTAATATGTTTTTTATTGTTTTACGATGTCTTGGATGTAAGTGATTTGTGATCCATGAATCATTCTGTGATCGTTTGACCGATTTGCTTTGCATATTCTCCAAATTTTATGGTTACTGAAGGGTGTGCCATACTTTTCTCGAGGATTGCACTGAATCTTGTATGAATCCTTCTTGCATCCTTTTGGCTGCCCCATGCCCATTTGACAATTGAGGTTTTTGTAGTGCTCTCTTTTGGTTTGATGATGTTCCTTTATGGTTCTTTTGTTTCTTGTTGTGCCTTGTGGTGCATTCAGACGATTGGTTGATAAAAATTCATGGTATTCAATAAGATAAAATTCATGATAGTAGGAAAAAACTTGCACTAGTAACTAGACAAATGCTGCAGAAATGCCCGTCCCCCCTCCCCTTTGACACACATTTATTTGGAGCTCCAAATTGACTTTTAGTTGAAGGAGAGATATTTGGAGGCTGTTTGGTGTCGTTTTGGATCCCTCAATCAAAAGCAGTGGATTTGGGATGGGGGCCATAGCTATAGTTATTGGTCCTTGGGCTCATGGATCGTGTTCCCTATTTTTGCAAGGATTTTCCATCCCTCACATGCCTTTAGAACACCTATGATTGAGGGTTAGAGATGCAAGTGAGCGATCACATGAAACAAAATTTCATTTGTTTTAGACATTATAAGCCACTTTTCAGTCCTTTCTAAAGGGTCCTCTAGCTGACCCTTTTCTCTCCCTGCATCCTCTGAAATCCCCCTTCTTCTGTGAAATCCTAGCACAACCCGTCCCCTCTTGCCAGCGTGTGTTCCTAGTTGGCTCTTTGGGGCTCTATATTATATTTTTGTAGTAAACTAGGCCAGGTAATTGATATGCATCCATTGTGTTCAATCTTTTCTTTTGATGGAGGGCATAGTAGATGAACTTGTAAAAAAATAGGATAGGTTGATTGTTTGTAAGTTCAATGTTGTCCTTGTAGTCGTTATTGATTTGTTCATTTATTTGATTGTTGTGCTTGTAATATTGATTGATGTAATGTCTATATAGCTTAGAAATACATTTGATGCAGTTAGATTACACGAGGCTGCTGAAATTGACCGCTTTGTAGTTCTATGATTAGTCTTTTCTTCTCCAAGATACAATGTCTCTTGGAGATACACCACATATTCTTGCAGACTGGGTCTTATTTGTTACATTATTCGACACCGTTACCAGTTTGGCAAGTTGATACATCAGACTGCAGTGTTTGCAAGTTTATGCTTATGGCTTACAAATATTCCATTATGCCCTTAACCAAGTTTCTTGCTGCAAAGATACTTGCTGCTTGGATCTCATCTCATATAATCTTGTATAGGACCTTGCTTATCTGTTTTATGTCTCAGCTTCATTGATTTAGGTGCTCTTTGAGAGAAATCCGGAAAGATGGGAAAGTTTAGAACTTTAATCTGATGAATGTGCCTTTCAAAAAAGACAACCAAAATATTTGATGAGGGTTTAGAAATTCTGAAAAGTAAAGCCCCTTCGACAAAAGTAGCATGGATTAGGAATCTAAGTTTATGTCCATGTGGATCATAGCAACAATGGACCTTTTAAATATAACATAGCCTAAAGACACCCAACTAATTATTACTTGGTACTTTTCAAAAATCACCTGACTAATTACTTGGTGCACATACCCCTTGAGACTTGTTGACATGCATGCTTGGATATTTCCTGGCTAGATCCTTTATGAGAGAAATGTTGGACAAATCTGGGTTAGGAATCGTCATGACAGCTTTAGACTGTTAGCTGAAATGAAGAATTGAGCCCATATGGTTCCAAGATATGTCTAGTTCTATTTTTAACAACTCCCATGTTATTTTTCTCAAATTTTTTTTAAAAAATAAATATAAAAATAGACAACACCCATGTTTTTATGGAGTATAAGAGTAAGTCCTTGGTGTATCACAAGAAGTTTCTTCTGCTAATTCTTTAAACTGTCCAAAGCATATTCTCCACCATAGTTTGTCCGTTGTATCTTATTTTGCTAATAGATGCTAATGAAGGATTCTGCATTCACCATGTTGATGATAGAGTTGCCCATGAAAGATCAGACGTATGACATGAGATTGGGCTTTCCAACTGTGTCATTTGAGGCTCATAGAGATCTAGACTGCAAGAAAAATGATGAATGTCATAAATGATTTGAGCGCATCTTAGTTTTGATAGCTTTTTGGTTTTTGATTTCTTTGTGGGCTGATTCTTTTGAAGGCATTACGTTGACCATTGGAAAAGATCCATTCTGTGTCTTTTGTTGCAAGCATTATGCACTTGTTTTTTGGATTCATTGAGTTATTCAGCAAGTTTCTGTGGATTTATTTGCAAATGGTTTCAGACTCGCATTCTATTATTCATTTTAGACAGAATTTCTTGTTCAGAAAATTGAGAGCTTTAATCATAATTTGCTGCCATCATCATCATCATCATCATCATCGTAATATGCCATATGATGTGAAATTTAAGAATCTGTTATTCTACATCTTGCAGGGTTTGTTTGAAGGTCTAAAAGCATATAGGAAAAAAGATGGTGCTGTGGTTCTCTTTCGTCCAGAAGAGAATGGTTTAAGAATGCAGAGGGGTGCTGACCGTATGTGTATGCCATCACCTTCATTAGAGCAGTTTGTGGATGCTGTTCAGGAAACAGTGTGGGCTAATCGACGCTGGGTACAGCAGATTCTCAAACAATGGACTGTCTTTCAAAATTGTGATATCTAAGATTAGAAATATTTAGAAGCAACCTTAATTGACTATGTTTCTGTGTTTTATTGCAGGTTCCTCCATTTGGAAAAGGTTCTCTATATATTCGTCCCTTGCTTTTTGGAAGTGGGGCCATTCTGGGCCTTGCACCCTCTCCCGAGTACACATTTCTTGTATTTGTATCGCCAGTTGGGAATTACTTCAAGGTTGATCTCCCCCCCACCCCATGCACAAAAAAAATAAAATAAAAATAAATAAATTCTGGGATACTGCTTGAAAGTTAATGACCCTTGGATTGGGATTGGAACACTCACCAATATTATGTGGATTTAAAACTTTCGGTCTTCTTATGTGATGCTGCATCTACTATCATTGTCCTCCTACAACCTACAAATGATCAAACACTATTTTGACTATTTAAGGCGATGATCTGAACTGAAGTTTTTGGGAAATGAGTAGGCTCAAATGTGCTGTTTTGGCTTTTCCTCGTGTTTTTTGTTCAGCTACGTCATATGTTAGTGCTTATCTTGTTCACCTGTTGATTATGTTCAAGACGCGTTAGAAAACATGGACTTGGTCTTTGACTCACCATGTCTCAAGCCTGAGTTGGAGGTTTTACACAGCCGCGTTTCTGGTTAAAAACCACAAGGGGACCTGGATTCGTTGAGACTTGCTGTGTTTTTGTCCTTATCAATCAGACCAGGCAGGGTGCGAGGTCCGAGTGACTCAGGCCAGTCCGAGCCCGAATCGCTGGTTCTTAAATCATTGTGTTCAAGTATTATGGCCCATGGCTGTACCAGTGTAATTACAAGTTGGTGCCTCCCTGGGGAGTTAGGTTTATGGATCTGATTTGGTGCCTTGGCTAGTTAATCCATGACCGGAAAAGTGACCGGACTTAGTAATTTTTAGTTTATTTTGAAAAGGTGATGGGTTTACCTCCTGCAAGGAACACTTGATATTGTTCTGTATGTTCTTTCTGGCGTCTGGCTGACTGGCCTCTAAGATCCATTTGATTGACCTATGCTCTATTAATATTTCTTGGAGATGAAATAATCAGGTTAAGATTGGAGTGGTAACTACTTGTTGCTCAATATTTTACCTGACTACATGTTCGTCAAAATAGCTTGCTTGTGTATATTGTATCAGGAAGATAACAATTGAAAACTATCGCAGAGTATACATGTAGTATATCATGCCTTTCTGGTCGTCAGGAAAATGAGAACTATCATTTAGTGAACTTTGCCATATGAGAGGGTTGGGACTGGACCTTGGTGCTGCTCCCTTAATATAATACCCTTTTTTTAAATTGTTCAAATAATATTCTAAATACCATCCAGTATTGGTCATTAGAATAGTATGCATCGCAACTGTTGGTGTACTTTTTCATGTGCCAGATCATACTTTGGCTTCATAACCTATTTTATAATCGTTTAAGGGATGGCTCTTAGTATTTGATTCTTCCTTATTAACCTTTGAAATTTAGAGATTGGGTATAACTCCTATATGGTATCTTTTATGGCAATTTTTGTATTAACAAATTGCTAATTGTGAGAAATTGGTGGTGTGGAGGCTGCATTTCACTTGGGATGGTTACCCTTGTTGCTTCTTAAGTATCACTCAGATTTGAAATGTAATTTGTTTAACATGTTGACGAACTAAAGGCAAATAATTTGGATAATTGGCTAAGAAATTTACTACTGTTGAGTGCTTCCTTCTAAATTGCTCTATCTCTGCTGTTTCTTGTAAACCATCTCTCTCATGACTATATAGTTGAAGCGATCAGTCCCGCACCTCTGTTGCCCTTGGAAACTTAACGTCGATGATGGTATTAAGTGTGACTCTGGGATTCTTTTTATTGATGTTGTTTCCCTGGATGAAGGCATAGTTATTCACCTGTTCGGTCTCTTATGACTTGTCTATATATGACCATTGGAAAATGAGGTCAAGTCAAATTTCTTTTTTGGCTTTTTTTAAAATAAGGATCGAATTCCTTTTTTGGTTTTTTTAAATCAAGGGTGGTGTTAAACCATGCATTTAAAACAAAAAATGGTACTTGGAGTATAGGGCTGAACATGCAAAAAAAGGGATCTAGTTACTTGGTACCTTACATTTTAACCCAATGTAATCATTCTAGCTGCTTACAATCCACCTTTATTTTGCTATGCGCAAGATAACTTTACTTGGAGTTCTTTATAAACGGTGGAGTTCTATTGGAGTCTCCTCCTACGAAGCACCATGTAATAATAAGATATTGAGCTTTATCATCTTTTTGCCTGCTCAATGTATACTTTACCATTTGGAACCTGCTATTTCTTTTGATTGAAGAGAAGTGTACTAAATCCATTAATGAAAATATGTTCAGTCATTGAGTGTCAGTGAAATTAAATCAAGTGGTATGATGCATTTTTGTGTAATAGGGTAAGGCTAGCATCATTTGAGGAATATTTGATAAATATGATGGCTGTGAAAAACAATTATTTATTTTGACAGGAGCTGTTTGTGAGTAAAGACATGGTGTTAATTGGATTTGTTTCTCACCTCTAAATTGTGCATTATTTTAGCCATGAAAATAATTCAGTCTTTCACTTTCTGTTCCTTGCTTGAAGGGAGCAGATGTTTCATATTCATTTGGACTAAACTTTTTTTTTTTCCTGCCTAATACGAGGATGCTTGATCTCTATGTCATTTTAATTTGAATTACATTCTACTTGTATCAGGAAGGCTTGGCGCCGATAAGCTTATTGGTTGATACTGATTTTCATCGTGCCACTCGAGGTGGGACTGGTGGTGTAAAGACAATAGGAAACTATGCAGCAGTAAGAAAGCCTTACACTAATCTTTCAGTTTCCACCTGTTATTTTTCCTTATATTCAACATCTTTTTTCCTTTTCAAATATTATAAACTGGACTAGATGCATGATACTTTGAAGTTTGTTGCTGTTGTAGTTTTCTACTTTATCGAGTGGAATCCTTGAGGCATTGATTTATATAGTCATTCCTGTTAGTGTGTAGTCTCCTTGGCATTTTAGCATGGATACCTTCTCAAGAAACCTTTTGATCTCATCATTTTTGCCTGATATCTGACTATTTTGGCATTATGGTATTTTTTTACTGTATTATGTCTCTAATATCCATTAGAAAGTTTTGCTTAGTAAGATTTTGGTGGATTATTCTTTCTCAACTCTTACTAATGATTATAATTAGGACATTCAGTATCTAAAGTTATATACCTTTTCATATTGAGATGTACAGATTAAGAAGAATATTATTAATATTTAAAGGTTCTTTTGAAGTTATGACACAGGATGGTTGGCGTTGTAGACTAATTGTTTCTAAATTTCAACAAAATGGCTTTAGGATATTGTTAGTCAAGCAAATATCAGTTGATATGATGTATTAGAGCTAAATGGATGATGAAAGATGACAAAGACGCGAAATTCCTTCATAAGATTGCCGTATAATTGCCAATTATATGGCAATCTTATGATAAGAAACTTTTAAGTGTTAGGTTTTTGAATATATTTAGAGGTATAGAAAAAGCAAATGCCAGTGAAGGGACTATTCTTTCTGAAGTGTTAGGCTGTTGAATAATATTGTGAAGGTGAGTGAGTTATGGTAGAGGCTGTTCATCAAAGGGGCTGCAAGCCCCTTTCTAAGGTACACTCTCAATGAATTGCACCTGGATGGAAGGCCTGAACTAACATTGCATCTTGTTTGTATGTGAATTCATGCATTTATTGTGTTTGTTGTGTTACATATGTGTGTGGGGGCGTGTCTTGTACCTAGTAGCTCTCTTATTTGTTAAGCTATCATGATGCATAAAAAATTTAAGTTGACTTTGAAAATTTCGTCCTAGACAAGACTTGTTCGGTGGTGGGAACCCCGTAACTTGGGCAAGTCATTCCTCATCCAGATGAGTTTCTAAAGCAGCAATTGTGCCATGCAGTAGAAACCCGTATTGGACTTGGAGTGTTTTTGAGGGAAGTTTTGTCAAGTTTGTAATTGAAGTTAAGTCAACCCATCTTTCATTTAATTTTTTTAGAGTAAAATTAAGAAATAAGAAAAATGTGCAAAGAGTAGGTAAATAGAAACATAGGTATCATGTGAGCATATTTTATGAATTGGAAATGCAGATAAACATGTAAAGTAACAGCTCAAGAAAATAGGAACACCACAATTCAACTTCTAAATTCATTTTGGATTCCAAACCAGTTTGCTTGTGCGAGAATGATTCTCACCATGATCTAGTTGGACGTGGGAGAAATAGTGACTCTTAGTTGTGTGATTTGGATGGCTGAGAAGCAAGAACGACAAATGTTCCTTGTAAGGTGAAATTTCTGTGAAATTTCAAGAAACATAAAGTATTTCTTCTCCAGTGCATGAGAACCTATGTTTTCTCAAAGAACTTGGATTTGATTGAATTAGTAGTCGATTATTTTTGTCTTCATTAATAATTGTGCTCTCATCATGGGTCGTTGGTTCAACCTATTAAAGAAAAAAATGTTTGATCAGTGTTTTATTTGAAGTGCTACGCATGCCCTAGGTGTTCAGTGTGTTGGCCGGCCTGAGGACTGCAGGTGGGCCACCTGTGCATGCAGTGGATTAAAAAAAATGAGGAAAAATGAATTTCATGGAGAAGAGGTCCAATGCTACTTCCTAGATGCGAGTCTGGAGTTAGGTTGGCAATCGTGCTCCTTGGCCTAACTGGGGCAGAATCCCACTGCGCTTGCATCTACATTCTCATTTTTCTCTTTGGATTATGTTGTAATCAATTACTTGTACTATTTTTTCTCTCTGGCAACAAGATAGCATGACAATCTAATATGCCTTTTTTTTTTGGTCGTAAGGTTCCTGTTGGATTTTTGTTGGCTTCATGTTCTCATTGTTTTATCTATCTATAGGTTTTGAAGGCACAGACACGGGCAAAATCCGAAAAGTACACTGAGGTTTTGTACTTAGATTCTGTTGACAAAAAGTATTTGGAGGAAGTTTCAGCTGCTAACATTTTTCTCGTGAAGGTATATCATACATTGGTATTGGCTGTCTAGCTGGTTCAGCTTTTTTTGGCAGTGTGGCTGATCGTTTGTATTTGTTTGAGTGCCATAGCACTCTTAACTATTGCGTTGGATTTCTTTTGTGCCTTCCATTGCTCCTTAATAAATTGCTTTGGCTGTCAATTGAATGTCCACGTTGTATGCTTTTATTCACAGGACGCATATACAAGTTTTCTAGTTCTCGCTGATTTATCTTTAGAATCTTGAAACAACAGCTTGTTGCAGTGCTATTTGACACTTCAATGCTTCAAAATTTGGAAACATACTTGGATTGATGTTTAGCATCCGTGCGTTCTCTATGACAGCCTATGACTTATATAATGTTCAACAGTTTTTTCTCTAAAGTTGGGATGGAATTCTCCAGGTTTTGCATTGTCATGTGGCATGTGTCTTCATTGTGTTTGTGTTTTTGCTTTCAAGTTTTGGTTGGCACCATTTTTTATTTATTTATTTTCATTTGCATGCTTTGTTTGAGTAAAAATACTAACTCATAGGGAAGTTTCTATGATAGCATCTGTGAAGTACGTAGAAGTCAAAGAAAGTCCAATCTAAGAATGCGTGGTTGTTTTCTAGTTTCTATTCCTTTAAGATTGCATCAGTGCACTTCTTATTACGTTTACGCTTGAATGGAAATCAGTGTTTGACGCTAATATTTTATTGGACATGTTGATGGTATTTGTTCTATTGAATGTAGTGATGGAGTTGTGTTACTGCTGTCATCTGATGTTTTTTGGGTTGTACTGGTCATTGCCTGATTTTCTGTTGTTTATATGGCGAGCATTGAGTTCTGGTTCACAAGTACTAGGATTTAGTGCATTCTATGTGATTTATAGCTGTCTATCTATCTATCAGTCTATTATATATAAAGTGAGAGGAGGACCCTCTTATTCTCATGCCAAGTATCTTTTTTTTTTTTTTTCTATTTTAATCCTTTTAACTTTTGTTATTCCAATTTTAACCTTCACTCTTTTATATTTATTACTCTCATATTTACTCTCTCCCCTCTTAATATATTCTCTCTCATCTTTAACATTTACCCTCCCCTTGTCCCACCCCCTCCCTCTCCCCCTCCCCCTCAAATGGGTCTTATATATATTTGCTAAGGGATTATATAAGTGTAATAATGATAATATCTGTAGAAAATGATAATATCTGTAGAAATTATATTATTGCTCTAATGAAATTTATTAAAAGTATTTATTTAATAAGTGACATAATATCTAAAACTGAATTAGTAACAAATATATATTTTCTTAATCCTTATATTTAATAAGAATTATGTTTAAGCCATGTCAAAAAAAATAAAAAAATAAGAATTATGTTTAACATCAGACTTTTTTAAATATAATTAGAATCATATCTTGAAGTTTTTGTGGCATGATTTGGAAATTACAATTACCTGAAAGAAAATTTAATATTTTACTATTTCTTTTCTTTTTTGCATTTTAATTTTCCCAAACTTTCGTGACTATATTTACATGAGTAAATTATATATTTACTATCCAAAAAATGTAAATTATTAATCAAAAGATACAAAAAAAATGGGGGAAGAAATATAAGTGAACAAGATTGCAAATTATTTTGTCCAGCTTTTCAAAATAATTTCTACTTACAAGTAAATAATATATTTAGTAATGTAATTAAAATAATTTCAATTATTTTAGAAATTAATATAATTGAAGAATAATAAAAAGATAAAACAGAAAAGTAATTAATCAAAAATACAAATTATATAGGTCAATTATATATTTCTATAAAAAAGGAAAAAGTTAATACTTGTATTGGTAAATGTAATAGAAGAAAAAGATACATTCTAAAAAATAAAAAAATATATTATTCCTTTTCTCTTTTTATTTTTTATTTTTTTAGTTTTTTCAATTTTCTGTAATACTTATAAGTAAATGATATAATTTGTACTATCCTAAAACCAAATTTTTTATATTAGTGGATGTTATAATTGAAAATGAAAAGAAAAAAATGAAAAATACAATAGTAAGTAACCATCAATACAACTTACTGAGGTGAGTACTGTAATTGAAATTCGTCATCATCATCATCCCGTGTTATCCCAACTATTTGGTCGGCTACATGAATCCTGTTCTGCCATTCTACTTTATAAAAGGGTAAGTCACCACATTTCTTTGCACTACTTCCATCAGCATAATGTAATTGAATTTATTTTTAAAAATATAATTACCTCTAAATGCAAATTACATATTGAATTGTAGTCATATTTGAGTTTATGTGATGTTTTTGCATTTTCCTTCTATTTTTTTTTTTTTCAGAACAATATTTATTGATAAGTAAATTATATAGTTACTTGTATAGTTAATAATAATTTTATGAAGGTTAGAAATAATATAATTGAAAATATAAAAAAATAATTATTATCTGATAGAAGCCCATATGTCAAGATGGATCAATCAAAATCCCTCTTTTTATAGACTTTCTCTATAATCAAATATGCCTTTTGAAATTTTTATTTTAATAGTAAAATTGTGTTTTAACGATTAATGTTTAATACACGTGTAATGCACGTGCATATGACTGGTGTGTTTTAGGCCCTTATGCACTCCTATCTGTTTTATTCGTCCATAAAAGCGAGAGACACCTGTTGAATAGATAGTAGACAAAATTATACTTTGTATCATTCTTCTGCATTTTACTAGCTTGCACTTCGGCAGCATTATGATATTTTGTAGGATATCATAGATCACTCGCGATTGAAATGGTATGCTAGACCATAGTTACTGGGATCTCCCAATACATGTAGATCTTGGTCTGGGATGTCCCTCAGGTGCTTTCAGATAGGTATCTCAATGAGATTGCAAATTGTAAATTATGTTAGCTCGATCCCCACTTTTTAGGGATCACCTCTTGCAGGTCGAAGGAGTAGGCTAAACCAATGATTTATTTGTATCTTAATTGCAATCATACTCTCTGTGACTCTAATACTTTTGGAGGTTGTGAAGTGTAAAATTCGAAATAAAGTAGCTTGATATGCTTGTTAAGGTTTAAGGGCTCGGAGTGGTAAATAAAGCAGATTTTATCAATAAGATATCAACTCCCTTGTAGTGTTATTTGTTATCCCGATGTCCATCATCATAATATTTTTTTTTATTGTATTTTGTAGTATTATTGTTACATATACTACAACTCAAAGGAATATAAAAATATATAAATTGGAAACAATTAGTTGATACACAAATATGTTTTTTACATGTTGATGGGTTTATATAGTAGGTAAGAATGGAACCCCAAACAGCACGTTGCTACTCAAGCACACTGACCACCCAGGCCCCGGGCCTATTCCTTAAATAAATAAATAATTTTTTATTTGCCTATCTTTTGTGCCCATTCTTTACTGTATTTTTGGGGATTGTTGGATATTTGATATTCTTAATAAATTTTCTGACTTTTAATTTCATTTTGTTGTATCAATTAAAATAATTGTTTGAAAAGAATTCCCAGCCTAGGGAGGTTCTAGCATGTGGCAACTAAGTGGTAGAATCCTTGCTTCCGCTTCCAGCAACTATGTGCTAGACTTTGATCTAATGGTGGCAACATGTTCTTCCAGTAAATGATCCCTTTTCCAATCTTTACTTACAAATCATGGGTTTTTTCGTGCTTGTTTTGCATGTTACTTGTATACCATTGAAGCATGCTATTTGTCATTCTTAACCAAGAATACAGTAGATATCTCAGTTATCCTCTGCCTGTGACGCTTCTTTACATGTTTCTTTGTCCATCTTCACTGAATAGGGTAAAACAATTTCAACTCCGCCAATAAAAGGGACCATTTTGCCAGGAATTACGCGGTTGAGTATTATCGATGTTGCTCGAAATGAAGGATACAAGGTACTTACCTGCAGCTAGTTACCTCAATGTGAAATCAATTGTATTTAACTACGTACTAAAGTTTGTATGTCATTTTATAATTGTGGTTTTGTCATGGATGGATGCTATTTGGGAAGTATGGAAGGAAAAAGCTTCCATATTAATAAGTTTTGTGATGGCTGAGTTGCAACAAGGCTATTTATGCTATCTTCTATGTTTCTTTCTTGTCAGAAATATTTCAATGTTCTTGGATGGCTTCTCCACATCCTTTTATATTGAAGGCATGATTTTAGAAATAAAATTATTTGGTGTTGTAGATATTAAAAGTTCTGAATTTCATGTCATATGCCATGACATTTGGTTTTTAACATCTAGAATTTGTAATCTTTCAGGTGTTTTACTCTTAAATATAAATCCTTAGATTTTTTGTTTGAGCGCACAATTCTAGTGCTATGGAGCGCTTCTCAGTTTTTAGGCTTTGGTCTTTGTCTCATGTAAGGGGATAGAGAAACGAAAAAACAATAGCAAACATTACTGAAGAAAGTACTTGCTGGATCAAAATATGGATCTTATTGCTTCTGTGGATGTTGGATGCTTGCGTTCTTAGGAGATGCATTTGTTTTTATGGAATCTGTGGTGATTTTCCGACATCATGGATGTTGTACCATTATGGTTTCTTGATGATGGTTGAATCACTTGCCCCATTATGCAGGTTGAGGAGCGGCCTATACCAGTGGAGGAATTGTTTGAAGCCGATGAGGTTTTCTGCACAGGTTGTGCAGTGGTTGTATCTCCAGTTGGAAGTATCACATATGAGGGAAAAAAGTAAGCAACTATATCTTTAAATCGTCATGTTTTCATTTTTATTTTTAATGTGTTCTTTGATGCATACCTTTTAATTTCTAGCGTATACTGTCGTGCTCTGTGCAAGTTTGCTTGCAGAGGTCTTCTGGTGTAGTCTGTCCTTTCTAGTTGTTCTTGCAAATGGTATGCCCCTTTTTTTTAATTAGTTGTCTTTTCAAAGGAAGAACAACTATTGAGAACTTTTTTTTGAATAAGGGTGACTTTTGTAGTAATCGAAAAAAGAGAATTTAGATAAGTTATAGATACCCCCACAAAATTAATTTTTAGACATCCTACCCCACAATACTTAATATCACACCCGAAACCCCAACACTATTTTTTCTTGTATTTACCCTCCTAGTCAATAAGCCAACCAAATTTAGATAAAAATGCCATTTTTGTCTCTCTTCCATATGTTTTTAAGTCACATGCAACTTACGCTCTCTTTCTCTCTCTACCTCTCTCTACCCTCCCTCTCTGTTTCTCCTTCTCTCTCTACTCACCCTCTCTCGCTTTCTCTTTACCTTTCTCTTTCTACCCACCATCTCTCTCTTTTTCTCTCTCTACCCGCCTTCTCTCTATCTCTCTCTTTAGACCAAAAAAGCTATTTTACTCTCTCTCTATCCAAACTCTCTTTCTCTCTACTACAACCCCCTTTCTCTCACTCTCTCTCTCTACCTCTCTCTATACTCACTGTGGTTGAGCAGGCCATGCTCTTTCCGATCCTTGTCTAGATCTTGAAGTGAATACCTTGTGTCAGGAATAAACACAGTCTCTCTCACCATGCCAGTAACTTCCACCAATTTTAAATGTATTTCATCCAACAATGGGTGAACCCCATCATCTGAAAAGAACACATGAACCTCTCCTCTGAGGTCTATGAGCGACTCTCTGGTTCCTTTCTTATTCCCTTTGATTTCATCTCTCCTCTCACTTTAGCAACGTCATCCCACCTTCCAGCCGAAGCATATACATTCGATAGTAGAACATAGGTTGAAGAGTTTCTAGGGTTAAGCTCTAGTAGATTTCTTGAGGGAGTAGAGAGAATGAAAGAGAGGCGAGTAGAGAGAGAGAGGTAGAGAGAGAAACATAGAGAAAGGGGGTTTCAGTAGAGAGAGAGTTAGGGCAGAGAGAGTAAATTGGATTTTTCGGTAGAAAGAGAGAGAGACGGCAGGTAGAGAGAGAAAGAGACATATGGCAAGTAGAACTAGAGAGGTACAGAGGGAAAGCCAGAGATGGCGCGTAGAGAGAGAAAGAGAGGCTGAGAGGGAGGGTAGAGAGAACGAGTAGAGAGAGAAGCTGAGAGAGTGTTGCATGTGACTTAAAAACATAAGGAAGAGAAAGGAAAAGGGAATATTCGTCTAAATTTGGTCGACTTCTTGACTGGGGGGTAGGATGTCTAGAATGTTAGTTTTGGGGGGTATCTGTAATTTTCCAAGGAATATATAAGTGACAAACTAGAGACAGCATCCCACAATTTGGGTGCTCAGACTACAACTATTTAGAAGACAGTAGAGAAGAAAGAAGGAAAATAAAACCGATGAAAGAAGAACAACGAAAATTGAAATTGGAGTCTGAAAAGCATCACACCTAACTACATACCATTTTATTCCATAGGATAGCAGCAGAACACCAAAGGTGTTTACTAGGTTTTCTGTGCTTTAAGCATACTTTGAAAAGGTAGAAATAGTGGCTGGCGGGGTCAATCTTTGGCAAAACGTCCACTGCACGCTTCGTCTTCCAGCTAAGCAGAGAGAGAGAGTGAACTGTTCTCCGGGCTGAGGGGAATAATTCTGTCGTGGGCTAACCACTTTTGATGAGGCCTACTATCATCCTTTGACATATCTTCTCGCTATGAAGTTGTAAAGTTTGGAGGAGCAGATGAGCACAAACAGAAAAGAGGGGAAAGAGAGAATAAAAGACAAGAAGCATGGTCGGCTTCCAAATATGGAACAACGGTTGGAGGCTAGAGAGAATGAATCTAGCGAGGAGGTAGTAGAACAGAGGCAGGTGAGTGGAGAGAGAGAGCCAAAATAATTTCCGAATATATATATATGTTATTTTTTTTCCTCTTTTTTACCCTCCCCCCCTTCTTTTTTTTTCCGACATGTAGTGCAATACGAGAATAGGTACAGGGGAGAAGGGCGAAGACAGGAGTAATAAAACTCAGAAGGGAGAGCAAAAGAAAGATGGTAAGGAATATAGAGATTGGTGAGTTAAGGAGTTAAGGTAACAGAGTGGAGACAAGGGTAGAAGTGAGGGTTGGTGAGTAGAAAGGGCAGAGAGACAACATGGAAAAGAGAGATGGAGGAGGAAAACAGAGAAAGCGATAAAGGGGGAAGAGCGTAGAAGAGAGTGATTAGAGTTGAAGAAGTGAGAGGAGGGAGGTGAGTAGGGGTTAGAAAGTAGAGATTAGAGAAGAGACAGGGATAAGAGTGACAATGAGTGAAGAGAATCATACGTGGTTTGCAAGATTGGGGGATAGTCGATTCTTCCTCGGCAATGGCTTAATGTCTGAGCTAATCTCCCTCTATAGTGGGGCTGGGAGAAGGGGTGGAGATTAGAGAAGGTGAGGAGGTTGTTAGAAGAGAGAGATAGAGAATAGAGAGCTGAGGGAGAGAGACTTACTGGGAAACCCAGATAAGGCCTTGGGTTTTCTTCCTTGTATATATAACTTTTTTTTTTTGTACTTTTTTTTTTACTTCTGTTTTCGTTTTTCCTTTTCCATCCTTCCCTTTGGTACAGAGATGATAGGTTTGGAAGAAGAGAGAAGAAAAGGGAAGAGGGAGAGAGGAGGCTCAAGGATTTGACTGAGCTGAGAGCGGCCACTTTGTGCATATGTCAAAAGACCGTTTCCAGCCCACCCTTCCCGGGACCCTGCCTACCCGGGACCCTGCTTAGGCAGGGTCCCATCACCGGGTTATGGCCTTTTGCTGCGCCTAGGGAAGCTCCTTCATTTGCCAGCCTATCTGCCTCTGTGTTGGCTGCTCGATGAATGTACTTGGAGGTGAGTTGGGGAGGGAGCTGCATATGAAATGTATTTGCTCAAAGATAGAGGTTAGCCTCCAAGGTGGTTGCTGTTGTCGGGTGGCCCACAGAATGGTGTTGCTGGAATCAGCCTCGATCATGAAACCTTGAGCATAGATTCCCAACTGGGCCACCCTTTGAAGGCCTTCTAGAAGCGAAAAGCCTCAGCATAGGTGGTGTCTTGGACCCCAATATACGCTATGAATGAGAAAACAGCTGAGATGTTGTTTTCTAGAGTGCCCCCAATTCCTGAGGTTTCCTAGAGATGATCCATCAGTATTGAGCTTCAGGAAGCCCAAGGGAAAGGGGGTCCAAATGGGTCTAGGGGAGGCTGTCGGGGTGGAAAGATGTAGGAGGCAGGCCCAATTATTTAGGAAATGTTGGATTTGAAGAGATGCTAAGATGGGTATATTTTTGGCCCAAAGGAAATGAGGGTGGTAATTGACTCAAAGACTGATGCAGTTGATTTCACTATAAACCTCTGAAAGTGCGTGAGTTTCTCTAGAGCCTTAAGCTCCAGAGAAAGGGACTTCACAATGAATAAAGAGATGACGGATTGTTTCCTCTTCCTGGAAGCATAGATTGCATCAATTTGGGAAACAGAAACCTCTCCTTTGGTGTTGGTCAAGTGTGAGGATTCTACCATGGAGTAGAATCCACACAAATGCCAGGGCTTTGTGTGGGATTGGAAGAGCCCAAGATGAATTGAGGAGAGGCTTAGGGTTACGTTGAGGGAGGAGGGAAGCATAGGGGGAGGAGACTGAGAAGGATCCTGAAGGGACAGGGGACCAAATTAAGGCATCCCATTGACTAAGGGTTTGGAAGACCGGGTCTAATAATTGGAGAAGAGATAGACGGCGGGAGGATTCAAGGTTCATTAAATTGCACCTAAATATTGGGGATCAGACCAAGTTGGATCCATTGAAAATTGCATAGTCAGATATGAAGGCTCTTTGGTTTCTCGCGACGAGGAAGAGAGAGGGGAAGATTGTTGATAGGGGGGAAAGTCCAACCCAGAGATCAGACCAAACAAGAATACGAGAGCCGCTGTCTAGTCTAAACCTGATCCGATTGAGGAATAGGTTCCTAGTGGAAGAGATGCATTTTCGTACTCCTGAGGATCTCTGAGTAGGGACTTGAAACTTGGTAATAGTGACATCTAGTAAATCTTTTGGTTACATTAGTCTGTTACAGTCAATTCCACCGTAGTGGGCCCAAGTAGAAACAAGAGACAACATGAAAGCTTATCAACAGAGCTCTAGTTTATGCCCCTGAAGAATTTCCAAGGTGTACAAATCCTATGAAAGGTGTTAAAAGAATCCTGATAGGATCCATCCTGAAAAATGTAAGATATGTGTTCGCTGTAAGCTTTGGCCTGCCTTTTGGTGGCTTGGTACACAAAGGCACTTGCCTGGCTCTCGTGTTCGCTCTTGTAATCATAAGCTTCCATTCATCGGGTTGATCGAGCTAAACCCCAATAATTATGGAGATATGCTTCCAAAAGATCTGTTAATTTCTGACATGTTCTCGTCAGTCCCAACCAGTGTAGGAAAAATAGGACTGTTAGAATTCTAATTGCCCGGTTAATCGGAACCGACCATTGCCCGGTTCCGGTTTCGGTCGGTTTTGGTGAACCGGCCAGGTATTTTTTTATATATATACATAAAATACCAAAAAATAAGGGATTTTGTTTTTAATGTATTTTTTAATGTTTTTTATCATTTTGGCAAATATTGGAAATTGTTTTGGCAATAAATACTTATTTTAACATTTTCCCATCTTTTTTGAAAAATTTAAAAAATACTCCTAGGTACAAATCGATTATTTAAAATCCATGCTTTTCATTAATTTTCAACTTGATTTGGATGTTCTTTGTTTGAACATGCTTTAAATATACTTTTTATATTTTATTAGATTTTTTTTTGAATATTTTATTTTTGTAACACTTCTTTGATGGCTCGGGACTTGCATGGTTAGGCCTGTTGACTGCTTTCAGCCATGTCCGGTTAACCATTCCAGTTCAATTTTTCCTGCACCGGGCCCAACTCTGAAGTGATCCATTTAAACACCTTCCCCCCTCCCCAAACACACACAAAACAAAACATTTCACGGGCATCAATTCTCGTAGCCCAATCCCCCTCGAGCCTTTCCCCTTTCAAGTGCGATACATGAAACCTCAAAAACAAATTTAGGTCATGGGCAATTTTGGAAGAAATCCCTTACCTTCACTTTGTTGAGAGTTGAGCTATCACTCATTACTGGAGAAATCATGCAACTGGAGGGTATATATGGATAGAAGAGGAGGGAGGAAAAATATAAAAGCAGACGACTGGCAGGATTGGTAAGGGCTTAGTTTAGCTAGTGTAAATTCCCTCTTGGCTATTGAGGATTTGGGAAGGAATTGTTTGCAAAAGAACTTCATTGTTGAATTTTCACGTTATCTTTTATATTTTATTAGGAGTAAGGACATCCTCAAGGCAACCTAGGGTACTACCTAAACTGTACAGAACTTGCTTTTGGCTGAATGTAGGGCACGTCTCACCCTGGCACCTCAGTAGCAAGGGCCTAAACTGACCAATCATAAGAATCTAAAATTTAGGTTTTCCATCCTGAACAAGAAATCCAAAGATTCTTAGCTATGTTCTTAGCCCAAATGTAAAACTAATGTATTTTAAAAGGAAAAAGTTTACATAGAGCCAAGGCTCTAAACAATCAAATTGGAGTCCACCTGAAAAATTTCACTAGAAGAGATTGTTTAGATGCCCAAATATCCTCAAATTGATCATCTCGACCTCAAGATGCATGGACATGAGAAAAAAATGGATTCCAAATTTTGAAAATTGTGCTTCTTGTAACGCATTTTTGGACTGTCAATTTTTAATGTTTTCAAGTTTTCATATATTTGCTCAATCTAAACTATTTTCAAAGCTTTAAATTTTATAATTAAATGTTAAAATATATTTTAAGGCTATCACAAAGATTTACAGTATTGAAACCACATTTCTCCACACTATTTGAAGGTACAATTTAGTTTGATTGTTTAGAGCCTCGGCTCTATACAAACTGCACCCATTTTAAAATTATATCTAATGGAGTGAATTCCCCAAAATCTTACTATACCTTCCCGAGTGCATCCATATGTTCCCCTTGCCACTTAAGTAATATATATGAGCAACATAGGGCCCTACATAATCTGGCTTATGAGTGGACCATTTCTATAATATCTGTCTAACATGTTTCTTTTAGGGATCACGGTGTAATTGTCGTCGCGATGCTGACAATTCAACGAAAATTTAACCTTAATGCATTTTGTATCATCTGCAGGATGCAATATGGAAATGGCGGAGTTGGTAAGGTATCTCAGCAACTATATTCGGCACTCACGGGTATCCAGTGGGGACTCACAGAGGACAACTTCGGGTGGGTTGTCGACCTCAAAAAGTAATTTGCCGAGAAGACAAATATGCTTTAGGAAGATTTTTATATGAATGAATGTATGGAGCAAGGAGCATATAAAATAGATAAGACTTTCTTTGGTTGGGATGCTAGTAAGCATTTTATTAGGGTTTGATTTCTGCTTGAATGTTGTAAGAGGAACATTTTCTAGATGGTTTGGTTTTTCAATCTTGATTTGTCTACAATCAGAGTGATTCTCCGTAGTTCCAATTCTATGCTACAGGATCTTATCTTCTTGCCAAATCGCAGAGTATTTAAATGCATATCCTGTAAACGATTAGCCATGTATTTGATTTGATTACTCCATTAGTAGTAATCCCTTACAACTTAAGGGAACAGGGTAGCTATATCCGGCCCGCACACCAATACTATTTAGTTTTCCATGCTCCCTCCACTATCCGTGGTTCCAATTCTTAAGCATGCTCCCTCCACTATCCGTGGTTCCAATTCCTAAGCATGCTCCCTCCAAGTATTTTTTAAACAGTCCTGCGGACTCTAATACTATTTAGTTAGTTCTGTATTCACCCCCTAAATAAAGAAAGTAGCTTCTTAGGATAAAAATACCCCATGGATAAATTAAAATTTCAGATAGTTTATCTCTTTCTCTAAAAATTTCATGATAGTTCCTCTTTAAAAATTGATAAAAGTAAAAATTGGATATAGTCTCTCACTAAAAATTTAAAGGTATTTGTTATCTAAAACTTAAAATTTGAGATAGTATATATTTTTTTTAAATTTTTTTTGAGATAGTTTCTCTCTAAAATTTTTTTGGGGATAGTTTCTCTTTAAAACTTGAAATTGATGTGGCTTCTCCTCGCAAATTTTGAGAGAGTTTTTAAAATTTGAAATTTGAAATGGTTTCTCCCTCTAAATTTGAGAATGGCTTGGGCATTGTCGAGTCTCATAGTGAGGTTTATAACTCCATTCTCACTAAAAGGTAGGGGCCTCAATCACCATTGACATATCATTTTTTGCGGAGTGTTATGGGGAGGTTTTTGACTCCATTCTTACAGAGTAGGGGCGCAAATCTCCATTGACATACTACTTCTAGTGAGTGTAGCAAGGGTCTTGGCTTTGGCCGATCCCCATGATGAGGTCTCTGGCTCCATTCTCACTAAAGGGTAGGGCCTTAAATCTCCATTGACTTGTGATTTTTTTCGAGAATGACCTGAGGCTTTGGCTTAGTATTGTTGAGCCCCGTGTTGAGGTCTTTGACTCCATTCTCACCAAAGGGTAGGGGCTTAAATCCCCATTGACATACCATTTTTAAGAGAATGTCATAGGGTCTTGGCAGTAGTGTTATTGAGTCCCATGATGAGCTTTTGTACTCTATTCTCACCAAAAGGTAGCGGCCCAAATCCTTACAGCCTTATTACTTCACCAAAAAAAAAAAATACTCTGGGATAGTTTCTCTTTTTAAAACTCAAAATTTGATATGGTTTTTCTCCGTAAATTTTTTGATATGGTTTCTTTCTCTCAAGCTTGTAATTTATATTAGTTTCTCCCTCTAAAAAGTTTGAGATAATTTATTTGTCAAACAAATTTGAGATAGGTTTTCTTTCTAAAATTGTGAGATATTCTAAAAATTTAAAAAGCTTCTCTCTAAAAACTTTGTGATAATTTGTCTTTCTAAAAATTTGACAATCTCTCTAAATCTCGAAATTTGATGTAGTCCCTCTCTCAAAATTTTGAAATATATTCTTCTACAACTTAATTTGCGATAGTTTCTCTCTAAAAATTTAAGCTAATTTATCTCTCTAAAAATTTAAAATGTGAGATAGCTTCTCTCTCTAAAAACAGGGATATAGTTTCCTGTCTTTTCAAATTATAGATAATTTTACGCTTTAATATTTAAAAGCCTTCTAAAACTTCTGAGATAGTTTCTATGTCTAAAACTGATTATAATATCTATCTAAAACTGATTATTTAAGATAGTTTCGCAATCTAAAAATTTTGACATGGTATTCTATGTGAAAAATTGAAATTTGAGAACTTCTCTCTATAAAAATATAGAAAAGATATCCCCAAAGTTTGTATAGATAGATCACGATGTGTACTAGGATCACATGCACACTTGACAATGATGTGTACTAGATGACACGCAGTTGAATAGATAGATACTGAACTGTACTAGGATCACATGCCCAATTGAATCGATAAAAACATGATGTAGGCATTCATCACACTTCGCGATAAACAAATGCTTGGAAAGGATGAAGGAGCGTGCACACTTGAAACACATGTTTCATGCACATGATAACATCCATATCCTCAAAGCATTGCATTGAGAAGCCAAAAGAAAAGTCTTGCAAACATGGATAACCATTACCAATCACCCCAAAAAATGAATTATTAACATAGTGGGGTTGGTCATCCAAATCTTCAGATTGACTTCTCCCAAATATTAGGTGTGTTGCCGCTTCTTTTGTGACCCACTACTTGGTGGGCAAACAAATATCATAGTTATATTCCTAGGGCAAATGACATGAGTGTTTTTTTCATCTGAAATTCTTTAAAATCACCTGATAATATTTTTAGAGTAATAAAACTAGATTTTGAGCTCCTAAACACGCTTATTTTACTACTACAAAAATTAGACAATTCTATTCAATGTTAATAAGTTAAGGAGAATAAAACTCGATTTTGAGCTTCTAAATGCATAGATTTTGCTGCTAAAAAATTAGACAATATCTATTCGATGTTAATTAAGTTATGAATACGTACATGGTGCAATCATTTTTCTTTTTCATTTTTTTCTTTTTTTTGCGAGGTTGGTTGCGGGGTTGAGGTTCCGTTCTAAGATTTGGGATCTTAGAAATACTCGTGGATTGGGTTTTACACTGGTTAGTATATTGATGATATGCAAGACATATAATCATTGGCTCAAACCATGTTACATAAATAAAAACGAGGTCAAATCATATACCCTAAAACATTATGCTTTTGTGGTAGCTATTCCTCTATTCACTCTGTCGGTTGAAAACCAATTTAGAAGTATATTTTGGTCATCAAAGTCTTGAAATCTCATATTCAGGATTTGTTTGGCTGATTCCAAATAGTTTGAAAAAAACTATTATAAATATAAAAAAAAGATACACGATGTTGATGATGAAAATGAAAATTTTGACATGCATTATCTTCAAAGCATCCATCAACCTTAAAAAAAACAAGAAAAAAAATAAAAAGATATTTTTACTTTGCCTGAAAAGAAAATATCATAAGTTTGCTGAACAAGGACGGTACAAAGACGTTTTATGTTGTCATTTGCTATGGACAGCACAACACTCTTACGTGTAGATACACGTCGCTTTAAAGTAGGAGTCGGTGTTAGTACAGCTTACCGACGAGCATTATCAGACCAAAATGAACGTTTTCCATAAAAGAAAAAAAAAAATATAAGCATAAATGCAAAGGGAAAAGTTTATATAGAGCCAAGGCTCTAAACAATCAAATTTGAGCTTATATCAAAAATTTTATTAGAAGTGGTTGTTTTGATGTTTAAATATCTTTAAATTGATCATCTCGATATCAACATGCATAGACATGAGAAAAAACTTTTAGAATAGTATATTTTATAATGTATTTTTGGACCGTTAATTTTCAAGTTTTCAAAGATCTGTTGATCTACACTATTTTTGGAGCTTTAAAATTTATAAATAAATATAAAAATATAATTTAACGCTATTAGAAAGATTTCCAATATTAAAACCACATTTCTCCATACTATTGAAGGTAGGCTCTAATTTGATGGATTAGAGCCTAGGCTCTATACAAACAGCACCCAAAAACAAAACAAATGAAAATGAAAAGTATATACTCTAAACAATTAAATTTAAGCCTACTTCAAATCGATCATCTCGACATCAAGATGCATGAACATGAGAAAAAAAATTGATTTCAAGTTTTGGAAATAGTGTATTTTGTAACGTATTTTTTGACCATCAATTCTTAAGATTTTCAAATATATGTATATATATATATATATCAACACTATTTTTAAAGCTTTAAACTTCATAAATAAATAAAAATATATTTTAAAGCTATCACAAAGAATTTCAATATTGAAACCACATTTCTTGTCTCTATCTTAAGGTGGGCTCTAATTTGAGTGTTTATACAAACCTCAACTAAACAAATGTACAAACCTCAACTAAGACAAATGAGTCTTAGTCCTAGTACTCCCGTACCTAGATACTGGTTTTCAATCCTGATACACATTCAAAAGAGCCACTCCCTTATAATAATAATAATAATAAAAAAGAAAGAGAAAAAAAAACAAAGAAAGAGAGGTAAGCCGTCTTTTCCACTTAATTGACCAAATAAAAAATATCTTTAAATGGGTCCCACCTTTGTCGGCCTCGTAAGGGACCCCCTCTATGTGGACTCTATTTAACTGGAACAACAATATATAATAAGAATTATTAAAGATTGAGAATCGTGGAATTAATGGAAAAGAAAATAAGCACCCTTATGCCGAGGCTTTTAAGAAAACAAAGGAAACCATGCATTACTTCTACCTTCTTCTATGGCGAGGAGGAGGAGGAGGAGGAGGCGTTGGCCCAAGCATGGCGGAGTCGGCCGAGCGGGAGCCCTGGTTCTCTGAGTCGTCCAATCAATCGCCGATCGATCGAAGTGCTGAATATGGAAAACCTTGCACTGACTCGGACTTCTTCGAACGCTGGATTGCATGGATTGCCGACGTTTTGGTCTTCGAGGCGTTGGTTCTCCTCGGCTAAGTCTATCACAAACCCTAGTTTTTGCTCCTCTTCTCCTAAGGTACTCATGTGTTTTTCTTTTAATTCTTTTATACTTCTATTTTTACTCATTTTTTGTGGTATTTCTACTTCTCTATTTCTTCATTCATTTGTTTTTTTGTTTTCTTTAATTTTTACTCATTTTTTGACGTTTTCTACTTCTCCATTTCTTCTTTCATTTGCTTGTTTTTTTTGTGGAAGTTGTTGGGTTGGGTTGCATGGTAGAGGTTGGAGACTATGATGCTCTTACGCCAATGGTTTAGCATACTTATTATTGTTCATGTGCTGATATTACCACGGTATGATTTTTTCCCGTTTGCTACACTCGGTTTTTCGAACCACTAATTCTATCAACATTAATATGGTAGTGATTGTGCCTGTGACTACTAATAATAGTAATAATCATTATCATCATTTTTAACTCATATCCTAACTCTAATCATAGTAATAATCATTATCATCATTTTTAACTCTTATCCCAACTCTTTGGGGTTGGTTGCACTAGTCTTACGCTATTTTGCTCAGGTTCATGATTCCTACATAACACGACGCTCCTTTTTTTTTACTCGGGCTTCGGACCAGCATGAGAAGCTTGGGCCCGGGTAAGGCAGAGTTATGCAATAGTAATGATAATAGGAAGAGCAACATAAACATCATCAGCAGCGGCAATAGTAAAAAAAAAATAAAATATTATTATAATTATTGTTGTTATTATTATTATTGTTATTGTTATTGTTATTGTTAATGTTATTACTTGATTGCAACTTTGCGGTTGTCTCTGTGCAAATTGAGCATGAAAGCTGGTGGTGCTGCCTTTGCTTTGTTTGGCTTCGATTTGAAACTTTTGCGGTTGTCTCTGTGCAAATTGAGCATGAAAGCTGGTGGTGCTGCCTTTGCTTTGTTTGGCTTCGATTTGAATTTTTTTTTTTTTTGATATATGGTGTGCCCAACTGATCACATGCACTTCTATTGCTAGTTTTTATGAATAGTCCACAAAAAAGCCGGTGGTGCTGCCTTTGCTTTGTTTGGCTTCGATTTGAATTTTTTTTATTTTTTTTGATATATGGTGTGCCCAACTGATCACATGCACTTCTATTGCTAGTTTTTATGAATAGTCCACAAAAATTAAGGGATTTAAGTAGGTCCCTTTATATTGTTTCAGCTTGGTCGCCTAATATTAGCGTTTCTTCACCCTAATCTTTCCTTGGATGAGTACTCAATTTTGTTTCTTATTAATGAATTTCCATATGAGCAGTTACTCAGGCCACCCTCTTGGTGGTTTTGTATAGAGCTCCAGGCGTGTAGACGCCAGGGGGCAGCCTATTGTTTCCTACTCATGCATCTTCTGTACTCAATACAAATGCTAACAGCTTTAAGAGTAGTGTTTGGGACTCGGCCGAGCCCTACGGGTAAGGCCGAGTACTTCCAAGCTGTGTGACAACTTAGGGGTATTTAAAAATTTCAAAAACAATGAAAAACTGGTTAAAAAAAATAACCGTTATACAAGTATTTCCTACATGATTAAGATGTCTCTTGGCAAAGATTGGTGAGTGTTTTTTGCTATAATTACCTTTTTCTATTATTTTTTTTTGGATATTTAAGAAATATCCCAAACTGTAAATAGGGATTTTTTAAGTTCCTGTTTTCACTACTTTTTTAATCTTGTTTTAAACTTTTTAAAGGTGTTTTAGGTTTGAATTTACTTTTAATACATATTTTCTATTTTTTACTTTTAATACATGTTTTCTATTTTTCAAAATTTTCTTAAATTTTGTTTTTATCTTTTTGAGCCCTGTTATGGACTCGGCTGAGTGACTCGCCTCGGCCAGGGGGGTAAGTTCCGAGGAAAGTTTATGTACACTGCATATGAGTCAAAGGGCTTCGTCAATAACACATCTCCTCCCGTCGAATCGACCTTGTCCTCACAATTAGGAAACTTTTGCTTCTGAAGTTCAAAATGCTTCCTCATACCCCACTATTGGCGTTTTCTCTTTAACCTTCCATGTTGCATCTTTTAGCCTTTCTTCTTGTTTGAATAGTTTGGCATCTCTCTCTCTCTTAATTCTTCTTTCTTTTTAAAATTTACTTAGGGACGCACTTTGTTCAAAGGTGTTTTGCCCGCTAATATTCTCTAAAGAATTTATCTTTGAGTTGCCCTAGTTAATGGTGCTTGTGAAATGTGGCCTCTACATGCACACATTGTGGCAATTTTTCTCTTTAAATCTACTAATAAACAATTGACTAGATAAAATCACATTGTGGCAATCTTCGGTCTAATGTTAATTATGGTTCTCCTGCCTCTTCTTCTGCTCAAGTTCCTCTTCTTCTGCTCAAGTTCCTCTTCTAGTATCTTTAACCCAGAGTCTCAAAAAACATACATCTAGAAGAAAACTCTTCCTCCACCCATATTCCCCCTTATGAAGATCCTATGTTGTAATATCCAGGGCTTGGGTCCCATACCAAGCGTTGTGCGTTTCGTTCTCTAATCTTCTTACACGACATCATTGCACTGTTCGAAATTAAGCTCCTCTCCCCTGACCTTAGCCTTATTAGAAATATCTGGGGGAGGATACCCTGTAATTTGGATGGCAAAAGATTCCTTTGGAGCCTCTCGGGTATCTGGGTTCTTTGGAACCCGACCACTTACCAGGAAGTCGCGACTTCTCTATCAATATTCTCTTTCGCAGAATCTTAGATAGATTCTCTTTCAAAGTTTCTCTCATTTATGTTCCTAATTGGCCCTGCACTCGCCAATCGTTGTGGCTGGAGTTCCTCTCTGAAAAATCCCTCTTCCGCTATCCCATGGCTACTAGGGGTTGACTTCAACATCTCTAGACGTCCATGAGAAGAGCTTGGGTAGTTGCATCACTGCCTCGATGAGAGCCTTCTCGGACTTTATCGACTCGGTACCCCTCTTAGAGATTCCCCTTTTAGGTGCCTCCAATACATGGTTTAATCATGCTGCCTTGCCAGTCATGACCAAAATCAACATATTCTTGGTCACTAATTCTTGGGAGACTGTCTTTCCAGGGACCTGCTCTAGTGCTTTACCTAAAACTACCTCATATCACAAACCTATCCTTCTTGATATCTGCCCCATCCCACAGGTTAGAAACTTTTCAGATTCCAACTTTTTTGACTCGACGACCCTTCCTTTCCCTCTTTCTTCAAATCTTACTGGGCATCCTACTCTGTAGAAGGTTGGGGGGGGTTCCGCCTGTCCAAAAAACTCTAGCTTTTGAAGGCTTCATTGAAACAATGGAGCTGGAACTTCCTTGGTAATTTCAAAGATCAAATCCTTGCCAGTAATAACCTAATTCATTCCTTGGATTCCCTCAAAAAAACCAAGCCTCTTTCAAATCAAGAAGTAATAGACAAATCCTCGGCCAGATCCTCTCTCCTCCTCCTAAAAAAGGAAGATATTTAAATTAAGAATTAGCATACATATCCTTAGCCAGATCCTTTCTCCTCCTCTTCAAAAAGGAAGAGTCCTTCTAGTACCAAAGGTCCAGAATCAAGTGGCTCAAGATAAGAGACAGAAACGCTACCTTTTTCCACAAAACGCCTAGTGCAAAAAGAAGAACCAATTCTATAATCCAAATCTCTTTAGGCCATTCTACTTTTTCCCTACTTCAAAAACCTTTTCTCCACCTCCTCTAAACCCAAGCCCCCCTAGGAGACTTCTCCTTTTCTTCTATTTCCCCTTCAGATGTGGTCTGGTTGGAAATACCTTTTTCGAAGGAAGAAATCCATAGGGCTGTCCTCGACCTCTCCAGAAACAAAGCTTCTGGTCTCGATGGTTTCTCCATTACCATCTTCCAAGACTTCTAGGACACCATGGCACCAAATCTTGTAGCCTTTTTTAATGAATTCTTTTTAAGGGACCGCCTCAATTTTGCCATAAATTGCACTTTTATCACCTTAATTCCTAAGATTGAAAGGGCTGGTAAAATGAGAGACTTCCCTAATAGCCTTCTTATTTCTTCCTATAAAATCCTCTCTAAAGTTCTAGCCTCCTGCCTTCAATCTGTCCTCCATTCCGTTATCTCCCCCACTCAATCAGCCTTTGTCGCTAATAGGCAAATCTTAAATGGGGCATTCTCTACCCATGGAGCTATTCATTGTAGATTCTTTATAGGAACCCATGCCTAGCCATTGAGCTAGTTTGGGAAAAGGTGTATGATAGAGTAAATTGAGACGTGTTAGATGATATGCAGTCGTGCATGGGCTTCTGTGCGAGGTGGAGATCCTGGATAAGAGCATGAACTTCTAATCCCTCTCTCTATCCTGATCAATGGTTCCCCTGCTGACCTCTTTCCTGCTTCTAGAGGTCTTGGTCAGGGGGACCCGTTATCCCCTTTCCTTTTTACTATCATTGGATCTCTCTCTAAACTTTATGATAGGGGTCTTCTGCAAGGTTTCCAAACCTCCTCCTCCGGTCTGGTTGTGTCTCATTTGTTTTACATAGATGACACCTTGATTTTCTATGACGCTGAGCCACAACAACTAGATAACCTTTGGTTGTTCCTTAGGTGCTTTGAAGTCACCTCGGAGATGACAGTAAATATGTCCAAAACTAAAATGATGGGGGTGATGCTCTCTAAGGCTGAAACCTTTCCCCTTGCCCAACATTTGGGTTATGGCATGGATCCTCTACCCTCCAAATACTTGGGCCTATCTCTCTGGATTGGCAAACTTAGAAAGCAATTACGGCACAACCTTTTCGAATAATTTAATTTGAAATTCACCAATTGGAAAGGCAGACTCCTTTCGTTGGGGGGTCGAATTACTCATTAATTCGACCTTGGCCCGCATTCCATTCTATTTTATGCCCCTTTTTCAAATTCCCTCCTTTGTTGTTCTTCGCCTTGAAAACTCATAAGGAATTTCCTGTCGAGTGGGGCAACTAAGGACCATAAGCTTCACCTTATTTCTTGGAATAAGTGTTGCACCCCTAAAAAAATTTGGTGATCTAGGTATCAAGAGCCTTAAAATCATGAATACTGCTTTCCTGGGGAAATG